TCTGTTACTCCTTCATCGCCACTCCAAACCTTTTCCCTTGTCTGATCTCTAGTCACTGTCTCCCAGCTGATACCTGCTATCTGACCTTTGCATGTAAGTTGTGCTTGGAGATCTTGGCCTCCCAGTGGAATACACTCTTCGATCTACTGTTGTCAACCTTCATTGTCGCCAATCTGGTATAGGTTGGCAGAAAAATTTTTTCTCTTGCTTTTTCTGTTGGAGTCCCTAAAGTTTCAATGCGATCTAATTGTTCCTTCCATGCGGAGTTGTTTGTGTTGTTCATCTGTGCCTTTGCTAATTTGTTTAATGTTTTTGGTCCTCTGTTCTTGGCTGATCTCTGTCGTTGGTATTGTTCATCTGTGACATCTTTGGTTTCAAAAGTTTAACCAATACATATGATGTTGGTCTGATTTACTTTTTTTTTTTTTAATTAAAGAAAAGAGTTTCATTGTAGAACTTCACGCAATTAATTGAGAGTCTAAAACTTGTGTCAATACCATTTTTCTTACCTATTTGAACTATTAGGCAAAGACTGTTGTTTTGGATGTTATGATGAGTGCTCTGATGAAAGGGGAGGAGAAAGTGGGATTTAAAAAAACAAGCATTCCCTGTCCTCATTCTTTTCAGCTGTTTATGTCCTCTAACATTGCTCTTTTCATCGTTTCCCAAACCATTACAAGGACAAGAAACGCTTTGTATAGTTAATGAAGCTATTGCCTTAACTCATTATACTGTTTTTGTTAATGAAAGGTTTGGTCACCTAGATACAGGTTGAATCTCACTTTTGGTTTCCCGACTTCTTCTAATTCTTTTGGTCTTTTGAAGCTTGTACATATCTTTTGAGTAATAAGAAACTCCTTTTCATTGAACCAAACAAAAAGAACTACACAACCGTCTAGTGGTTTGTGAATTTGGCTTATACCAATGATTTCAAGCTTGTCACATTACCATGAATTTTAATTTAAAAATATTTTATCCATTGAAATTATGTTTCACTTTACATTTACAATAATTTTTTTATGATATCTCTAATGTTTTAAAATATATTTCAGTTATGAAAGTTCGATTCTTCATATTAAAATAATTTAAATTTATTGTATTATGTAAATTCATTTTTTAGTCATTTTTCATTATTTAATAAACTCATACTCATTTTGGTAATTTTACAAACTCCACTTTCTAATTCAAGTTTATTGTATTATGTAAATTCATTTTTTTATTATCTAATAAAACTCATACTTATTTTGGTAATTTTACGAACTAAACTTACTTTTATTCAATCATAATCCAAATAACCTTTTATCCAATCTAATTTTTACAACTAACTTTTATAAAATTCAATCCAAACACAATTCGTATCACCTAATTTAATTTTTACCCAATCTAACTTTTTCAAAAGTCAAATTGATAATAAGCTGTTTTTTCTATTGCTAGTCCAAATGGACCCTTATATATTAAGAATTAATTAATAACTAAATGCTAATGATGTATACCAGAAATCTGCAAGTACTTGTGATAGCATAATATCACATAATTATCTACTGAATATGAGTTTCCTGTTCTCTTGTGTTTTCCCATCTCATGATAATCCTAATGTCTGTTTGGATTAGCTGTAGAAAAAGTAACTTATTTTCAATTTGACTTTTAGAAAAGTTAGATTGGGTAATGTGATTTATATTTGGATTGACTTTGATGAAAGTTAGTTTGTAAAGTAAAAAAGTTATTTAGATTATGATCAAAAAGTAAGTTTAGTTTGTATGATGATCAATTAAATAATATAAAATGATTAAAAATGAATTTATAAAATATAATAATTTTAAATTATTGTAATTGGGAAAAGTTATAGTTGATGAATAAATTATATTTAAATTAGAAATCATAGTAATGTGAAAATTTTTAAACCAAATAATATTACATAATTAATTGGATGATATACACTACATAATTTATGTAAATATATAATAAAAATAATATTAAAAATTTTAAATATTATAAAAATTATTAAAAATTATTTTTACTTAAGAGAATATTAAAAATAAAAAGTAAAATTGATTGGGAAGCATAAAAATATATAAAAAGAAGCATAAGAATAACATAAGTCACAATAAGTTTTAGGCGTTTTTGCAATCGTGCTTAAAAAAAACAGCTTTTCACACATAAGTCAGATTGGTCAAAAACTGTGTTCTCAAATTTACAAACCAAACTATTACACCTATAAGTTACTCCCGCCAACGCCTTACCAAACAGGCTGCTAGTAGATTTTAACTGTCTGTCATAACTGGGAATTTAGTGGACCACAATGACCAAGAAAATCCTGTAAAGTAGCTCTGCTTGCACTGAGAACTACCCGTTGTTCAACTTTGAAGAACTCTCTGTTTCCTAAATGCCCCATGCCTAATCCGCTGGTTACTGAGTCAAAGAGAAATTCAGTTAAGGTTTGCCTAGATACATTTTGCTCTCTTAGTGGTCTTCCGCGTGCTCCTTTGCCTCGACTGAAGAGCTTCTAGTCGGGAAGGAGAAGTATTTTTAGGGCCCAGAAGAACATGAACATGAAACAAGAAGATCTTAAAACCTGGCGGGCTAGGGAAACGAAGGTAACAACAGGATCTCCTTTTTCATTGAACATAGGGTACCGGAATTATTTTGATGCTTTTATAGAAAACAAGTCTAACTACCCTTTACAGGAAGACCTCAATGGGCAAGAAAGGGCACTGGATCAAGTCTGCCCTATCTTCCCTTTCTTATTTCTCCTATCTTCATGGTAACACTTGTTGCCTTGCGGAAGAGAATTTAAACAAATTTTTTTGTATATAAATATAGACATCTGTTCACTCTCACACCTCGTCTTCTTTCATAGCTGTGAGGTTCCAGAGAAAGTGAAATCGGTGTGTTATTCATTTGTGTCACTGTCACATAGATACACTTAATAATAAATAGTGTTAACCCTCATCTGTGCAAAAGCTACAGCTGATACTTGAAACTACTCATAACCATACATAACTACTTCTGTCATCTACTCCCTATAGTGGTTTTGGTGCTGTTGTGTAAGTAAAGTAATATCTTCTAAATTACATGGAATTTAAGAAATAAGTCTCAGTGGTCTAATGTGACTGTGTAATCTACCCCAGTCAATAAATAAACTTGTTATTGTTGCTCGCAACTTGTGAACAACGTAGCTTACTATAAATTTTTATTTGATGTTGATGATGACTGATGACTCATCTTATTAACACAGAGAAGAGTAGAAACTTGCTACCACCACACTTGGTTCTTGAAAAATGATAGTGTTATGAATATGGTTCATTTGGAACTTGCAAAAAGCCTGTTAGGACTGTTAGTTTCACACTTCAAATCCATAGAAGGTTTTAAGAGATGTGTGTGTTTTGGAAGATCAAAGTTTGCCCCTAAAGACAAATGTATAGCCTTCTATTTGGATGGCAGTATTTAAGAGTAAGACCATCTACTCGCAAACTCTTGGTCCCAATAAGAAGAAGAAACATGGCTTGCATTTGTTTGAAGCTTAATTGAAGGCTTGTAATTTTGTGCTTCATAAAAACGACATAACATTTAAAGAAACGCTGTATTTTGGTAGCGCTCATGCCTTTAAGGTGACATAAATTTGATTAACCATCCAATAAAGAAAAACTGAAAATTACTAAATTTTAAGTAAGAAATTATAACAAAAAAATGTTGTTATTTACAAGTCTAGTATTATCAAAAATTATTAAGACGTTTTTATCAAATCTGATTTGGGATTTAGTAATTTCAAATTTCTTTTTATAGGATTCTCCCTTATTCATAAGTTAAAAATACTATAATTTATTTTTCAAGCAAGAGAGATCAAATAACTGTGTAACCTTTTTTTTTAATATTTATGAATAATTTATGGAAAGATATAATTAATTGAATCATAATGTATCAATACATAAATTCATTTATAAAAGTAACGTATTACACTCTTATAGTCAATAAAGATTAGTTTAATTAGTAAAGATATATCTCTTATCTTATGAGGATGTAGTCATTGTAGTGAGTCTCCAGAATTCAATCAAAAACAGAAATAAAACAATGTTTGGCCAAAAAAAAAACCAATGGAATGATTTTTTTTTTTTTTTTGAGCAAAACAATGGAATGAATTTGATAGTTAGATTTTTTTATTTTTTTGTGACCCGACGTTAGAAGTCAGAACTGGGAACTTGAAAGTCAAATCTTTTCTGGCGTGGTTGACGGTTATGGCGGAAAGCTGAACGCATTTTCTTGCTTCACTCACCAAAACCACAAAGTCACACCTTCCTTGCATTGCAATAACCTTTCCCACTTCTGCATTTTCATCTCGTTCTTTTCGTTTTGCATTTGTACAAGCAGAACAACTTCATCTATGGCGGGAGCTTTGGTTGGTGGTGCTTTTCTTTCTGCTTTTCTTCAGGTGGCTTTCGATCGGCTGGCTTCTCGGGATGTTCTGGACTTCTTCAAAAAACCAAAATTGAACCAGACATTGCTCAATAAGCTGAAGATCGTGCTGTTATCCATCGACGCTGTGGTTGACGATGCAGAGCAAAAGCAGATCACCAATCCGAAGGTGGAGGAGTGGATCGATTTGGTCAAAGATGCTGTGTTCGATGCTGAGGATGTCTTGGATGAGATAGATTCTGAAATGTCCAAGCGCAAGCTGGCAGCTGAACAAGAGAGTCAAACCAGTGTTATTGGCAAGGTACGAAACTTCTTTGATACTCCCGGTTGTTCATTTGAGAAGGAAATTGAATCCAAGGCCAAAAATGTCCTTGAAAATCTAGAATATCTTGCATCTCAAAGGGATATATTAAGATTGAATGAACGTGATAGTGGTGCTGGATTAGAAGTGCTATAGCAGATAGATTGCCAACTACATCTTTAGTGGATGAACATGGAACATATGGCAGAGATGATGAAAAAAATACCATCATTGAATGGCTGCTGTCAGAAAAGTATAAGAACCAATATCTGTTATTTCTATCGTGGGTATGGGTGGTCTGGGTAAAACTACTCTTGCCCAGCTGGCATACAATGATAGTAGGGTGATGGATAGATTCAACCTCAAAGTATGGGTATGTGTCTCTGATGAGTTCAATATGTTAAGGGTAACAAGGACAATTTATGAGGCAATCACTGGATCAAAAGATGATACCAATGATTTTAATATGCTTCAAATTAAATTGAAACAACAACTAACTCAAAAGAGATTTCTCCTTGTTTTAGACGATGTATGGAATGAAGATTATCTGCGATGGGAGGCCTTGCAGTCACCATTCAATCATGGGGCTCAAGGAAGCAAAATTCTTCTAACCACTCGCAGTGGAAAAGTTGCTTCGACCATGCGTTCTGCTAAGATACTTTCATTGAAGCCATTATCGGAAGGAGATAGTTGGTCATTGTTTAGCAAATATGCCTTCCATGATGAAAATGTTCTTTGTTCAAACTTTGACCTTGAAGAAATTGGTAGAAAAATAAGTAAAAAATGCAAAGGACTGCCTTTAGCTTTGAAAGCCATTGGGAGCCTCTTGTACACAGAATCATCTCATGAGAGGTGGAATGGTATTTTGAAAAGTGAGATTTGGGAGGAAAAAAGCGATAGCAAGATTCTCCCTGCTTTGAGATTGAGTTATTGCTACCTGCCCTCTCATCTGAAAAGATGCTTTGCTTATTGTTCAATATTTCCCAAAGATTATGATTTTGATAAGGAGCATTTAATTCAATTGTGGATGGCAGAAAATTTTTTGACATGTGCTCATCAAAGCAAAGATGGGAGAGAAGTAGGAGAACAATTCTTTTATGACCTGTTGTTGAGGTCACTTTTTCAACGATCAACAATAGATGAAACCCGTTTTGTCATGCATGACCTTATTAATGATATGGCAAAAGTTGAATATGGAAAGTTTAGCCACAAGTTTGAGGTAGATGATGTAAATAATTTGACAAAAATGACCCGGCATATTTCATTTTTGAGAAACGATGTTGATCCATCCAAACGATTTGAGGTTACATACCAGGCTAATAAGTTGCGCACATTCTTGCCTCTATCCATGCAGGGTCATAGAAGTATAGGCTATACCTCTATTAGTCACTTTATATCTCACAAGGTTATTAACGATTTGCCATCCAAGTTTATTTGCATGCGAGTTTTATCTTTGTGTGATCATATCGTCTTAGAGATTCCTGAATCAGTAGGAAATATGAAACATCTACGTTATTTGGACTTATCAGGAACTAGAATAAGGAAGTTGCCTGATTCAATATGTCAACTTCATCGTTTGCAAACATTAAAGTTGTGGCGTTGTCGTCTTTTGGAAAAATTGCCAACGGATTTTCATAAACTCATGAATCTGCGTCACCTTGATTTTCGTGAAACTCAGGTGAGAGAGATGCCGAAGCAATTGGATACATTGAAAAATCTTCAAGTTCTGTCACCATTTATTATAGACAAATCTGGAGAGACCAACATCAAACATTTAGAAGGACTTAATCTTCATGGATCAGTTTCCATCTTGGAATTGCAGAATGTGGTTTCTCCCTCACACGCTTTAGCAGTCAATTTGAGAAGCAAGATACACCTTAAGGAGTTAACATTGGAATGGTGCATAGACAATAGAAAATCACACCATGACAAGGATGTGCTGGAGAACTTCCAACCTCATCAAAATTTGAAAAAGCTATCAATTGGCAACTATGGTGCTATCGAGTTTCCAAATTGGCTTGCTAATCATTTGTTGTCCAATTTAGTGTCCCTAGAGCTAAGGCATTGCAAATACTGTAGATCCCTGCCATCAATTGGCCTCTTTCCATCTCTCAAGTCATTGTCAATTATAGGGTTTCATAGCATAGTAGCTATTGGTCCAGAATTTTGTGGAAATAGCTCTAATGCTTCATCTCTAGAAATTCTAAGGTTTGGAGATATGAAGGCCTGGGAAGAATGGAAATGTGAAATTTTGTCTCTTACTTTCCCTCATCTTCAAGAGTTGAGTGTAGAAAATTGTCCCAAATTGAAAGGGGAACTTCCTCAACAACTTCCTTCTTTAAGGATGCTAGTAATTTCCAATTGTGAGAAGCTTTTGTCTTCAATTCCATGGGTTTCATCTCTTGATAAACTGGTTCTAAAAGATTGCAGAAATGAGCAATTGGAAAGTCTTCCATCAGCTCTAAGAGTCCTTGAGATTTCTGGATGCTTCGAAAAATTATTATCAGTCGACAAAATTGAAAATATCATTGCCAATTATAGCCTTGAAGAGTTGAAGTTTTCTGATTGTCCTCACCTAGAATTCCCATTGAGATCTTGTCATAACTTTGTCCTTGAAATGGATATAAGAGGAAGCTGTGACTCTCTTAAGTCGTTTCCACTAGATTTATTCCCAAAGCTTCAATCATTGAAGTTGATTGACTGTAATAATCTTGAAATGATATCTGTTTTAGAGGGGCACCATTATTCTCTTACAAGCTTGTACATACGAAAGTGTCCTAAATTTGTATTTTTCCCTAAAGGAGGGTTTTTGGCTCCCAAACTAGAATTTTGTTGCATTGAAGAATTGAAGAATTTGAAATCGCTCCCAGAGAACATGCACATTCTCTTTCGCTCCCTCACATATCTGTTAATAAAATGCTGCCCGCTAGTGGAATCATTTGCAGGAGGAGGTTTCCCATCAAATCTCAAATATCTTGAGGTCTTAGAGTGCCCGAAACTCATAGCCTTTCGAATGGGATGGCATCTAAGTAGCTGTACATCACTACATTTCATACATATTGGAGATGCAGATGATGAGTCTCTTCCTGATATTGGACTACTTCCACCTACTCTTATTTGCCTTCTGTTCCATAACTGCCCCAATCTTAGATCATTGGAACACAAAGGTCTTTGCCACTTAACCTCTTTGGAACTCTTGGGATTTTGTGGCTGTCCTAAACTCCAATACTTTCCAAAGGAGGGTTTGCCTAGTTCCCTTTGTCAACTAAGGATTAGGGGCTGTCCCTTGCTCAAAAAGCGGATCCAAAGGCAGAAAGGAAAATATTGGGCAAAGATTTCTCGCATTCCTTTTGTTAGCACTGAAGATGATGTAGTAGCAACTTTAAGTGAGCTTCTCACTAATGATGGCATCAGTTCTACTGCTATCCATTCACTCATTAGGTATATATTTAGTCCCTTTTTAAATGTCAAATCATGAACATATTTTCCTTTCTTTTGGCCATTTGTTTTAGATTGAAAGATTCATGTATTTGAATGTTATCCAAAGAATGTGCCAAATGATTCATAATTCGTAAATAATTCACTTGTTATAGATTTCAAATCATATATTATTCATAGAAATATGCCTCTATTTTTGCACCGATTTATTTATAGATTTACTTGATTATTTGAATTTTTATTTTCCTTTTTGTAGATATCAAAGATAGCAGCACTGCGCAGAATGAACATGATTTTCTTTAAATAATAAGCTCTTTTTTCTCCTGTCATACGCTTCAAATTCTAATTAGGAAACAATTGGTCCTATATCATGTATTAGAGAACAACTTCGGTTTAAAATTGAACAAAAAGAAATAATATGATTTACTTATCAAGCATATTATCTTGCTGTGTCCAAATATGACATTTTTTTTTTAATTTTACTAAAAGCAGATGAAAAGATGCAATTCTAGTTCTAGTTTCAATCTAAGAACAATTTAGTATTTTTAAAAGGGATTTAGTCCTTAAATATTATGAACTCTTTTTAACCAAACTCAATTTAACTCAACTGTTTAATAAAAAGAGTGATTGTGATGTGGTTCATGAGCTTTGGTTGGTGAAATTCGCCCAAATTAACTTGGTTTCCGTTGCTGTTGAATTTGACAGTTGGGAGAAGCGAGTTTAATGGTGCAACAAGTCCAAACTCCAGAGCCTGTTCAGACTAAACTCTAGTGTGTAGAGCTGTTCTTATTCAGGCTACATTGATCTTTTTGTCACTAATTACCAATTGTACTTCAGACATACTATCTATCATAAAGATTGCCTAACACAGGTTTTTAGATGGTCATATCGACAGAACATCGTCTGAAAGTGAGCACTTGATGATTGTATCAACCACAAATTGTACCAGCTTCACAAAGGTACACGGCAACTGTTATACTTCTTTAATATTGGAAGTATGAGAAAGAGGGAAGGAGTGGAAAAGAAGGAAGATAAAAGAGAGAACAAAGGGACGAGATAGACTGAGATTTGCATTTCTACTCAATAATAGGAGTACACATATTTGATGTTTGTATATTGGGGTACATTTATAGGCAGGGGAATAAGGAATTAATAATGGCTAGTTTGTTAACTAACTGACGGCATTGCACCTAACTTATCTACCCTTGTGTTAGAATTTAGAAACACATAACATACATTTATAGTCATGTATTTTGTACTAGTTTTTATTATTCTTTTGGGTGATGCCAAAGGGATAAGTCCAATACATAAACATGATACTATTAGAGTGTCAAAGCATAATATTTTTCTTGCATGTCCCTGCATCCCAGATCTTTCAAATAGTTATGTTTACTTGTTAGTTATAAAAACAAAATATATCATGAGTCCGTGGAATGAGTTCCATGCATTTTGAAATCCCAATGAAAAAAATCTTAAGGGCATTATGCAAACAGAAACTGATTCACTTTTCTTTTGTTTGACAGGCTCTCATATTGTGTCTACTGAACATAAGAGACTCTTCTCCTCATATAGTCCAATTTCTAATGAAGGTCCCCTCCTTTTCCCTTAACATGAGGAGCAAGATAGCACATCCCTTGCTTAAAGATATATCATGATAGAGCAAGACAACCCTTCAATTACTCAGTGTTCATTCAGAAATACAACTCCCATGAAATAGATTGCCAAGAAGATGGTGTGCTTTCAATGCTGCTGAAAGCCTATATTCTTCACATTCTAAGTTTCTATTGGTCTTGCAGTATATGTTCTTTTGAAGTTGAGTTTTTGAGTAGATATTGTAAGCAATAACTTCCCTTCTTTCCTGAGTAAAATTCTAGCTGTTTGGCATTGCATTAGGGTGTCAAGGCCTTAAAGGGCATCGCTGCTGTAGATAGCTCACTGGTGTCATCCTTGCGGATAGTAAAAACTTGATTACCTTCTTAATTAAACTTCAAATTTGTGTCCAGATTTTTATATGCTGTTTGATTTTCTTACCTCATCTCCTCTGCATCTTCAATCACTTCTCTTGTATAAATCATTTGGCCAGAAGAACTTTATTTTAAAAATAACTTTTTATTGGTTTCAACTTCGCTATGAAACTGTTACAAATGAGATATTCACAGCATTTTACTAAGTATATAAATACACCCACACGCACGTGATTCTAGCATAATGCAAGACTATAGTATTAATAATGAAGTGATTCATTCAAATCAGAGTAATTAGTTGTTTAAAACGACTTAGCAACTCCTCTTATATATTTATTTTTAATTTATAGCTTTAAGAAAATTCATTCAGAATTTGCCTAAATTCTCATTCACCTAAGTCAACCGGTGGGTGCATGTCTATACAAGCATTTATTGATTCTGGTTTTCGGCCACGACTGTGACAAATATTTTATTTGGGCATGAATTCCTCTTCGTATTAGTAGCACTCTCGAGCTTCCTTCGGAGCATGAACATTGGAAAAAGGCATAAAACAATGACTTGGCAGGTGACCCTAATACAGGTTATGTTACCTGTGGTTTAAGGAAGATTTCTCAAGGCCTTGATGGATTTCGTTCAAATAATAAAATCTTTACCATCAAAGAGATATAATCTAAGCCATGGGAAGTGGAACAAGTTGGGGGAGTTGTTAAAATTTAAGAAGTTTAAAATGAAATAGCAGTTTTGACAATGTGTGAGATGAGCGCTTCAATTGATTTTTATTTTTGGTACAGTGATAAAATTCTAATATAAGGCCAATAAAACTAGAGAGTTTGAATATTAAGAAGTACATGATCACTAAATGCTGATGCTGTATACCAAAAATCTACAAGTACTTGTGTTAGCATAATATCACATAATTATCTGTTGAATATGAATTTCTTGTTATATTGCGTTTTCCTATCTCATGGTAATCCTAGTAGATTTCAACTATCTGTCATAACTAGGAATTTAGTTGAGATTACAATGACCAAGAAATCCTGCAAAGTAGCCCTGCTTGCACCGAGAACTACCCGCGCGTTTTTCAAGTTTGAAGAACTCTGTCGCCCAAATGCCCCATGCCTAATCTGCCGGTTACTAAGTCAGAGAGAACTTCAATTAAGGTTTGCCCGTATACACTTTGCTCTCTTAATGGTTATCAGCATGGTCCTTTGCCTCCACTGAAGAGCTTCTTGTGGGAAAGGAGAAGTAATTTTTAAGACCCAGAAGAGCATGAACATGAAGCAAGAAGAACTAAGCCTTCAAAGATTAAAGGTGCCCCCTTCAAAACAGAATTTCTGGTATTGAGCAAATTGTCAATGACGACAATTCTGCATGTGATGATGCGCGAGTAGATTTTATCGAAATCTACGCCAATGTAGAGGAACATGAAGCAAAACCAACAGCAACAGGTCATGGACATGAAATGAGAAAAGTAGAATCCTCTGAAGAGCTTTAGAATCAATAAGTTGAGAATAGCTAGGCTTCAAGAGAGGATCTATGTGTGATGAGTCCACTGAGCTTGATTCAAATTCCAAGAAAGGTTATAATTAAATAATATTTGACAATGCGCATATTAACATGCTCTGACTTCTCTGCCTGAGCCTGGCACAAAAACAGGGGACCATTTATTTTCATATACTTGTTGCCATGCATGATGGGTTAAATCTTAAAACCTGGCAGGCTAGGGAAATGAAGGATACAACAGGATCTCCATTTTCATTGAACACATGCTACCAGAATTATTTTGATGCTTTTATAGAAAACAAGTCTAACTACCCTTTATTATTTCTCCTATCTTCATGGTAATACTTGTTGCCTTGCAGAAGATCATATAAACAGATTTTTTTTTTTTGGGGTTGATGACGACTGATGACTCATCTTATTCGCAAAGAATGGCAAATTGCTGTTGCCGCACTTGATTTTTGGAAAAGATAGTCTTATGAATATGGTTCATTTGAAACTTGCAAAAATCTTTTAGGCCTGTCAAGTTCACACTTCAAATCCATAGAAGATTTTGAGATACATATGTATACATATACTAGAAGATCAAAGTTTGCCCTAAGACAAATGTACAGCCATCTATTTGGATTGCAATTTTTTTCCCTTTAAATAAAAGGCAAAATGAAAATATATTAACTCATAAGAAGAAAACTGAATTGAAACTAAAATTAGTAAACTGTGATAAGAAAAATTGATTGGCAACATATATGTCCACTTTATAGAATATAGAAGCTTGGGCTATGCATCCTCTAAAGTGGACATTATGAAGAAGAAGAATGGCTTGCATTCTTGTTTAAAATGGCTTAAAATGTAATTTACAGAATATAAAGTAAGTATGTGAAGAAGTATCTTGATTTACATAAACATACTTATAAGTGCTTATAAATTATAGCTTTAAACAAGCACATAATATTTGTTTTAAACTTGTTGAACCTTGATGACATGACATACCAACTAAATCCCATAAGAATGTAACCAGTCTCTAAAATTTAACTTATCTGATTTTTTAAAAAGATAAATTACATCCTTATTAAAAAAAATACATATTTTTCTATTTAAAATAATTATAATCCATTTCTATTTTTGCAAATATATATACCAATATCTCTTGTTATAAAAATGAATTACACAATTCCACTATTGTAGAATTACCATGTGTCATATTTAACATCTATTTAATATGAAAATGGATAATGAGATATCAAATCTTAATAAAACATTTTTAAATTTTAACATGTCAAGTTTAATTTTTAAATCTGGTAAAAAAAAGTTTAATTTTTAAAATAACCAAGATTGTTACAAAAAATAATCATTTAAAGCAAATGATTTTCAAGTTAAAGGACAAAAAATATATTTAAGTTAAGGAACTATAACTGAAATCTTGTATAAAATTAACTGACTTAAAATATACTTTATCCACATAAGGAGTATCAAATATTCATTTCATTAACAAAAAATAAAACAAGCTTATTTTTGGCTCACCAAATAAAAAAAATTAAAAAAAAAATACTTCAGCGTATAAGAGGCGACGAATCTCCCTTGAGCTGTAAAGCACAATGCACCATCGTTTTGGTGTTAAGCGCAATCTCCACAAGACTTTACAATATCAAAGAAATAGAATAACAGACCCTCCCGTTTTTAATGTCAGATTTATTTAATTAATTTAATTTAATTAAAAAAATTAGATAAGTTAGTTAATTATAAAAAATATGATATGTTTTTCATAAAATATCATAATTATTTTTCTCGATGTCTTCCCTCTCTCTCCTATTTAATTATGATTTAAAAAGTATCAGTATGGATAATTTAAAAAAATTGATAAATATAAAAAATAAGTCTTATATTATATTTGTAACAAAAAAACTAAAATCAACTTAATAATTAGATGCTGTAAAGAGTATAATAATGCCAGTATGATAAAAATAAACCATTTTCCAACCACCATCGCCAACCCACTAGGCCTTTGCCATAAACATTCCCACTACTGCTTCTAAATCTTAGTCACACACTGCCAATGCTTGCATTGCAATAAACTTTCCCACTTCTGCTTTTTTTTTTCGTTTTGCATTTGCAGAAGCTCAACAACTTCATCTATGGCGGAAGCTTTCGTTGGTGGTGCTTTTCTTTCTGCTTTTATTCAGGTGGCTTTCGATCGGCTGGCTTCTCGGGATGTTTTGGACTTCTTCAAGAAACCAAAATTAAACCAGACACTGCTCAATAAGTGGAAGATGGTGCTGTTATCCATCGATGCTGTGGTTGACAATGCAGAGCAAAAGCAGAGCACTAATCTAAAAGTGAAGGACTGGATTGATATGGCTAGAGATGCGGTTTTCGATTCTGAGGATGCCTTGGATGAGATTGATTATGAAATGTCCAAGCGCAAGCTGGAAGCTGAACAAAAGAGTCAAACCATTGATATGGGCAAGGTACCAAACTTCCTTAGTGATTCTGTTAGTTCATTTGAGAAGGAAATTGAATCCAGGATGAAAAATGTCCTTGAAAATCTAGAATATCTTGCATGTCAAAGGGATATATTAAGATTCAATGAACGTGATGGTGGTGCAGGATTGAGAAGTATTGTGCCAGATAGATTGCCAACTGCATCTTTAATGGACGAAAATGGAACATACGCTAGAGATGATGACAAAGAAACCATCATTGAATGGCTTGTTAGAAAAGTATAACAACAAACTATCTGTGATTTTTATAGTGGGTATGGACGGGTGAGACTACTTTTGCCCAGCTTGTTTATAATGATAGAAGGATGGTGGATGGATTCAACCATAAAGTATGAGTCGATGAGTTTGATGTGTGAGGGTAACAATAACAATTTATGAGGCAATCACTGGATCTAAAGATGATACCAATGATTTAAATATGTTTCAAATTAACATGAAACAACAACTAACTCAAAAGAGATTTCTCATTTAAGGGTTAATACAACGATTTGTCCTCATAATTTACCTCTGTTTTGCTTTTGATCCCTGAAGTTTCAAATCGGAGCTCTTAGTTCCTCAAGTTTGCTCCATTTAAAACTGTTAGTTCTTCTAGTTTAAAAAGGACTTGGTGTTTGTGTTAATGATGTTAATTATGCTGACGTGTCTTTTAACACCGTTTAATTTGCTGGCGTGGCATGCCATATGGACTTATGACCTGGAAATCCTTTTTTTAAAAATAAATTTGTGATTATATGGGTGGGTGACCTGGACCTGAAAATTGTTTATTAAAAAAAAAAACAAATGTGAATGTAAAACACACACAGGGCACGAAGGAAAAGGGAAGGCTAAGGCATCAGGAGAGATCTTGGTTGAGGTTAAGGGGAAAAAGGAAAAGGGAAACTTGGGCATCGATGCTGGGCAGAGTGTTAGAGAAGACAGAGAAGATTCAGCAAAGGTCAGAGAATATTCGGTGAATGCAAAGGAGGTCCAATGAAGGTTAATGAGCATTCGAGACTTTCATTGAAAGGTAAATCGTTTTCATTTTCTCCCAATTTACAGCCTTTGATTTTGTCTGCACTCTCGTCTTCTTCTCTATCTTCAACCTTGTATATAATTTTATTTTATGTGCAGTGAAATTTCATGGCTTCTACTAGAAGTTCCTCATCGAACATCATGGGTAGAAGGGTAGCCCAGAGGGGTGGTGAACGATGTAAATGTGGAGATGAGGTTATAATTTTGACTTCATGGACAGAGCAAAATTATGGTAGGAGGTTTGTGAAGTGCCCAAATTATAAGGTTTGTAGATTATATCTTCATGTAATAATTTGAGTTAGCAACTGGGGTAAAGAATTTATGTTATTGTGTATTGTTTGACATACAGGAGCGTTGGGGGTGCAACTACTTTGATTGGTTTGACGGACCAATTGACAATTCAATTTTAGATGAGCTGAAGAAGATGAAGCAAGAGAATATTGATTGTAGAAGGAGATTGAAGTTCGTGGAACAAATCACATGTGTTATGGCTGTTATGAATGTGTTCTTAGTTTGGAAAGTACTCAATCTGAATTTGTAAACTTAGAAGCTAAAGTTGTATTTTAGTTGAAGTTGTGCAGTAATCTGTGTAACTGTGTAAGAGATGTTTTGAAAGGATTGATGTTGATATGGTTAGTAGGGAAATTGAAGAGAATTTGTAATGAGAATTGCGCACTTGTTAAAAAAAAACCTGAATAGAGATTAAACATATACATATGGCTAAATGCAAAGAAAAATTTAACTTGATTGAATGAGTTATCTATATTGATCAATGTTTCATAAATCGTTACAATGAGATTCATATGGGAGTTATAAAATTCTAGTAAACTTTACTGAACATAAAAAGAGTATGTTATTGAACATAAAAAGAATCTGTCTTCTTCTTCTCCAAATGGAAGAGGGAAAAGGAAGAGTATGTGTTACTGGTGGTACTAGCTTTTATTTGTTCCTGAATCATCAAGAGACTTCTTGAGGATGATTACTATGTTAATGCCATCGTTAGATCTCACCCTGGTCCTCTATTATATTATGCTTATATTTCAAGCAAATCATATGTCATATATATATATATATATATATATATCAACATTTAACTTTATGTTCTGCAATAATCATTACAGTTAGAATTTCCCTGGGAGTACAGTTTGCGTCGTGAAAGATGGATTATTTAAGATCCAAAACTTGTTTTGTTCTTCCTCAAGGGTCCAGCTATAATACGGAACCTTTAGCTGAATTGAACATTAATATTTGACTGATTTAAGAAGTATTATCTTCCTTAAGGGTCTTTGTGTAGGATTTGACAGTGTTGCCATGATTTAAGAAGATTTGCACATTTCAAGGTTGTCTGTGAAATATGATTGTTCATCTATGGAACTTCTGATACAAATGTATTTTTTCTATATATTTTGAATGATAAATATGAATTTATCATTTATCAATCTACCAGAAAAATAAGTACTCCCCTACTGTCAAAATTCCAGATATATTCCCAGTGCAACTACAGACAAATGTATTAATGATTAAAAAAACATATTCATAAAAACAAGTAACACAAGAACCAGTGAGTATGGGATTGCACAACAAATAGTGATCCAACTTATAAAGGTTAGGATAATCAAAAGGTCCATACAATCACTTATAATCCATGTGAGGTTTCATTACATCCAAGTAACCAAAATATATCACTAAAGTATTACATCCAAAATATTTTCACTAAAGTATTGCATCTAAAATATTTTCACTAAAATATTAGATCTTAGCTCAAAGCTGACTGCTTCCTGGAGGAGTAACATTAATAAACTCTTGTGTGCAAGAAGGTTGGCACATAGTTGTTGGATTTTGTTTGATTTGAATCTTCGGACGGTGTGTCTTCTTTGGAGGTTTCTTCTTACTACCATTGCTTGTGAATGGTTCCTTGCATGACCTTTTATTGTGTCCATGCTTCCTACAATTAGAACATTTAAGGGTTATATTTTGGCGTCTCTCCTTCTTTATACCAGTTGTGACCTCATCTGCTCCTTTTTTCCATTTTTTTGTTGGTCTCCCAGGACGCTTATGATATATTGGGGGCTCAATCGATTCATTGTCTGCTTTCTCCCACATGTTCTCACCATTGATAGGCTCAATTACAGGAGAGTAATAGGCAACAGAAGATTGTAAACTCAAGTATTTATCCACATAATAATGTGGATCTTCCCTCTGGACATATATGCAAGCAATTGCATGCCTGTAACACAAGACACGTAACATTCAAGCATTTATTATTTATTGTTTCTAATGTTAAGACACATAACATTCAGCCATTTATTATATTCACTTTGGCGGCAAGATTATCAACATATATAAATTGTGTGCGGTTTTTTTGTTTTACATTGAATATATAAGGAGTCAGTCATGGCTATAAATGACATTAGCTTTTATAAATTAAACATATGGAAAAGAAGTTACCTGTAAGGAATTCCATTCAATTGCCACCAATAACAAGAGCAGTTTCTAGTAGTAAGATCAACCTGAAACTTATGTCTCTTTAGTGAGACTTCATATTTATTGTTGCCCGCATATCTAACCATCCACTTTCAACTTTCTTCAACTTCCTTATCCAATCTTTTGCGAGGTCGTGGACAAACTATTCCCTTTTCACGGTACTTCTCAGCCTTCACACAATTTTCAGTAAATCGAGTCATAAGATAGGTTCGGATCTAGTCAAGCATGCTTATAATTGGAAGTTCTCTCACCTCCAACAATCTTCCATTGAATGACTTTGTAATATTATTGGTGATCATGTCAAATTTACAAGCCTTGTGAAAATGAGCCTTGGACCAACAAGTTGGAGGGATTCCCATCAAATGATCATGAGTTCCATTTGACACTGCTTTCAATTCATTCATTCGTTCCCTCCATTCGGCCTTAGTAGTGGCTTTCGCAACACGAAGGACTAAATCATGAACTATAGTTCCTCCTCCATATTTGATCTTGATATTTGCATACAAATAACGCACACAAAATCGATGTTTAGCACCTTCAAGTAACTCTTCAACTGCTTGAACAAGCACCTGCAAGTTATTTAAACAATCAGTTATGTAATCACAAATTAATATACTTGAAATAAAAGCATAAATTGTAGTAAAATACCTTTTGCTGGTCAGATATGAAGACCCATCTTCTTTCTTTCATACTACCGATATCATCAAGTAGATTTTGTAAAAACCATATCCATGAATCTCTATTTTCTCCCTCAACCACAGCCCAAGCTAATGTAAAATATTAGTCATTAGGATCACGTCCAACGGCCACAAGTAGTATTCCTCCATACGGCCTTTTTAGAAAACACCCATCTAACTCAATAATAGCCCTATCTCTCGCTAAAAAACCCTGCTTCATAGTGCCTATACATTCATATAACCTCTTGAAGATAGGGGAGCGGTCTATGTATGGTTGGTCAGTAACTAAAGCAAAAGTTGTCTCTGAGTTGTGCTTTCTCACTTCATTGCAATAATCTCTCAACTTATGGTATTGCTCCTTAAAATCATCATCAATAATTGCCTTTGCACTTTTCCTTGCCTTATATGCCTTCCACACTAACACTTCAACCATATAGTGCTCCCTTAATGAACCAATTATATCAACCAACTTCATGTTTTTATTTGTCTTCATATAATGCACTATCTTTTCTAAAATCCACTTGTAAGTGGCATTCTTCCCTTTTATGGAGACACCACATGTGTGCTTAGATTGTAATGTCTTCACCCTATATGTCAATTCATCTCTTATTTTACTCACAAAAATTAACCATTTGCATTCCGCTTGTGCACACCTTACTCGACACCTCGCCTTATCATTTTTCATGAACTTCACTTCATATCCATTGAGTAGGGCATACTCTCTTACTGCATTCTTAAATTGTTGAAGTGAAATGAACTCTATCCCCAACTTAAATTGAAACTCTTTGCACATCTCCAAGGGATTATATTTGGGGTGTTTCACTTTCACCACTAGACCATCCTCATCATCACTTAATCTATCAACTTCATCAATATCCTCTAATTCATAATCAAATAACAAAACCAAGATGTCCTCCTCTCTCTCTTCAACCAAGTTTCTTTGCTCTGCTTCATTAGGTTCAACTATCATCAATTGTGAACTACTAATAACTTCATCTAACACATCACCCACACCAACATCAACATATTCCCTAAAATAGTCATCATCCACATGTTCTTCTTCACTATCTTCAAAATCACACAAAGACGCCTCTGCACCATCATCACTCTCCTCCACCCCACTGTTGTCACTAGTGTCACTACCATCACCAATGTAATCAGTCTCTTTCTCTGACTCCATTTGCACCTAGCAACATAAGTGTCTCGTTACAATATTCTTCTCCACAGTAATACACAAAGAATAATATGATGAGACAACAAATATTAATATTTAATTAAGAGATTGCTTACTTTTTTTTTTCACATGATGATCACTTGAGTGTAAAAAGCAAGAAAATCCCGGGTAAGGCAAGCCATTGTCACAAATTTCAAAATAGCATCACCCACGATTTCAGTCCAAAACATTTACTAAATGGAAAAGAATGATAGTGACTCAACAAAAACCCAAAGTCTATGCTACAAAGTATAGACTAAATTTGTCATTAACATGTAATTTCAGTCCGGAACACGTACGTGTCACACCTTACTATAATATTGACTTAGGTTCCTTTCAAAATCATTTTTGACCACATTGGATGGTCTTGGGCTCACTTTTTACTATAAAAACGCTAATTTTCAGATTTTTACTGTTCATTAGGTAAAAATCCAGTTTTTCTGACCCAACTTCAAAAATTCATAACTTATTCTACAAAAATCCAATTGGGGTGATTCAAAATTCTACTTAAAGCTATTTAAGTCCTATTTCAAGGAAAATTAATCTCATTGTCCAATTCTTTATGAGAAAGTGTCAGGTTTTTAAGAAAACAACACTGTCCATTTGCCAAAAACCCTGATGTCCAGATTCTGACCATTAACTTTGAAAAATCATTATAAATCGTATACTAGTCCATTTTTAATGTATTAGCTATCAATTTGAAGCTCAGGATGTCATCTTTCATCATACCAAATTTCACGATTTAAAGCATTCGGTAACATAATCAAAAAGTCACATGAACCGGTCAGGGTCAGTGTGCTTCCAGCACTGTTAGTTTAATATTTACATAACCAAAATAAGCTCACGAATTTTGTGGCTAAACTCCACAAATCAACCTTCAATCTGCAGCTTCCCTTTTGAAGATTCAGGCCCTAAAATGTTACATGATTCTTGGAGGATGAGATTTTTGGAAATCCCAGTAGTAAATTAACCAATTATATCACCAAGCAAGCATCATTATTATGCATGATCACATTAGCTACTATGGATGAACTAACATGCTTATCATTTGGCAAACTCAACCATGCAAAGGCCAAAGCAAGATACTATAAAGAGCAGTCACATAACAATCAAGAGAGCTCAATCACAATAATAGCAATTAACCATACAATAATCAACAATGCTAGTTAGTGGTAGTGGCTAGGTTTAACTTACTACCTTGCTTCAAAAGTCTTAGCTTTTCTTCCTTCTCCTCTTTCCCTTGGCAAATATCAAATCCTAACCATGTGATCCAACAAAAATGGCAACAAGAATCATTATCCAACCATGAAAAAGCAAGAGCATACATCAAAATGATTCTTGAACCATAAAGTTCCCTCTTTTGTTCACTAGTTTTAGATTTGGTTCTCTTTAACCCTAAAAATCACTCCTTGACTTGTTCCTACATGGATTTTCATGTAGATTCCAAAAATGGGCTTAGATTTGTGAAAATAAAACTGATTCTTCCAGTCACAAACTGACCAAACCACTAGAGGTTTTGACCCAAAATTTTCAGCTTTGCTTTTAGACTTCCAACACTTGTTTCTTTTAGTCTACCCTACACCATTCCTCATTTTAAGCATCATGGAAGCCTTAAAACAATGAAAAGCTCATCCTAGGGTCCAGTTCTTCACTTGGCCAAAAATAACTCTCACAACAACAACCATGAAAAATGCTTTAAAAATCACTTAAACTCACTTGCTAACACTAGGATCTAGCTTGTGTTGTTGTGTCTTAGCAAGTGTTATGATCAAAACTTCTTTCCCCTTTTTATTAATCAGTTTAGTCCACATTAAGAGAGGGAAGAGACAGATTTTAAACCATAAAAATGAAAGAAACCAAAGCAAGAACACTTCTAGGACCAAGATCTAGCCTTGAAACCTTGCTAGGATGATCAAAAGTGCTCCCTTTCTCCTTGTTTCCTCTCAAACTCTCTCTTTTTCTCTATTTTTCTCCCTTGCACGAAATGAGCATCTAAAAATGGGGAGAGAAGAGCTTGATTAAGGCTTCAAAATATCCCAACCACCTTCTTTAATGATAGTCCAAGTGTCATTACCCTACTAAATCTTGATTCCTCTCTCTTAATTAACATAATTCCAAATGAAATTATTTACTAAAGTCAAAATCCTCTCCATTCATGGAATGACACTTGGCTAATTCAAATCTTCTCCTTCAAAAGCTTGACACATGGCTCAATAGGATCCCTTGGATTTGCAAGACACCAATCTTGCTTTATCGGTATACTTTAGGCTCTGAGTTTAACTTCTTTTTTATAATTACAGTAACTTAGTCTCTGTAATTATTTTATGTCAGATCCTTAATTTATTCTCCTCATTATTATCTTCCCAAATTGTCCTCTTTGTCTCAAAATTAATTTCCTAATATTTAAATAAAAAGGAAAATTAATTTCCTTCTCTTTAGGGATTTTTTCACTTTTCACATTTATTTGGAAAAATCTTGGACACTTGAGGGTCTCCATTTAATTCCATAATTCCTTATAATTCCTTGGGATCTCATGGGAATTTTCTTGGGATTTTATTCCTCTTAAAATATTTATTTGGAATTTTCCAAATAAAATCCCTCAATTAGCCTAAATCACCCTTAAATTCTCTTATAATTTCTCTAAGGGTAATTTGGTCATAAAACCAACTTTATAATTTCATATAACTCTCAAAGGATATTATCCCCATTTTTCCTTAATTTTCCATGGCTCGAAACTATTTTTCCTTATTTACATTTGACCAATTTTCTTTAATTAGTCAATTTCCTATAATTGGCTTGGAAAATTACTGTAATTTTTTCCATCAAAATTCTTTGACTTTTCCTTATTATTTTTAATCCTCAATAATTTGAGAATATTTCTTATCTCTAATTATTATAATACTGGATGTGGCATACGCATAACAAACCCATGATTTTTTTTTTTTTAAAAAAAGACAAAGCATATACTATAACCAAAGAATCGAATCATGACTTTGGCTATTGTCATTTACTAAAACAGAGCACATTTTATCGTTGTACAAGATATGGAAGAACCACAAAAATCAGTCATCTCTTTACTTTCTATATGCCATCTACAATATAAAACTAATAAGAAAAACTAATCATCAAAGAACAAACTACAAATAAACATAGCACCAAAGCTCTATTGATTATAGAACCAATAATAATAAAAATAGAGCATTCAAAGAGCACACCACCACAGACCATTGCTCGTGCTCTTTTCGAATAGACTAACAAGAAGAATCCTTACCTTTCAACAAAATGAAATGCAGATGACAATGCTTCTGTGACCTTCACTGACCTTCTCCCACAGTCGCTAGCGTAAATTGCACCAGTGACGGCCATGTAAGGCTTCTTTGACTGTGGGTCCAACTTGACCTAGCACTTTCTTGTTTTTTCCTTCAGCCTTTAACTGTCTTTGTTTTTTTCCCACTCAATCATGCGTGTGCATTTTGTTTCAAGTGTGGGTATTGTTTTGTGTTTTCTTGTTCTTTTAAAATCACAAATCCAGGTTGGCAAACTAATCACTAAGCCTTGTTGCCCAGTCAACATGCCATGTCAACGAATTAAATGGTGTCAAAAGACACGTCAGCATAATTAACACCGTTAACACAAACACCAAGTCCTTTTTAAATTAAAGGGACTAACGGATTTAAACGAAGCAAACTTGAGGGGCCAAAAGCTCTAGTTTGAAACTTCAAGGACCAAAAGCAAAATGAAGGTAAACTATGAGGACCAATCATTATATTTTCACTTTAAAACAAAAGAGTTGAAAATATGTTGTATCTCACTGAAAAGAGTTGCATCTATTTTCACCTATGATTTAAACAAATTTCAATTATAAATTTTTAATCACTAATTTTTCAGCAATTTCTCCATCCTAAGTAATAGGCAGAATAAGTTGCTAAAAAAACGAGGTAAAAATAAAAACAAAATTATGTTTAGACGGTCACCTATAAACGGTCTGCATGTGCCCAATAATCCAAATGGCGGGAGGGAGAACCGCCCGTTACTGCCTGATCTAACCAGAAGGCGGTGAGCAATCGCTCTTTCTTACAGTTATTCCATCTTCCCGATGGCTTCTTCCTTTTCTTACCTTTCAAACACCCTCTCAAACCTCTGTTAGTTCTCTTACCATCCTCAAAATGATGGCTTCTTTACAGCCTTCATGATTCTCTTCATTGAAACTCATCTCCCCTGCAAAACCCTCTCTTCTCCTCTCCTCCCCCTTTAAGCCCATAAAAGTTTTCTGTGCTCTCAACCCTGAAAATGCTGAATCTTCCGAAACCACGCCCGAATCTCAGCCCGAACCGGTTGACCCTGTGAAGCTCGCTTTCAGCAAAGCCAAGGCGTACAGAGAATCGCTGAAATCGAACTCTGATTTGAAAGTTGAGCAAAACATTGCTGCAAGTTCGGTTGAAAAATCAAATGGGAATGACGGGTTGAGTTCGGGTCAAAATGTTGTTGATTATGTTGGGCAGAAGGAAGTGCCACCGTCTCTGAAGATCGCAATGGAGAAAGCCAAGAAGTACAGGGAGAATAGAGGGGGCGTGGTTGATGAAACGGGTCAAGGTAACTCTACAGGCGTATCTTGTGCTAAGCAGAAATTTCTTGCATTGATGTATTTAATTCAGTATATGGTTAAAAATGGAAAGCTATGTGTTCCCCTGTTTGTAGTTTGCGCTGAAATGTGTATTTGAAAATTGAATTGGTTCTTAGGATTGCAGGGAGAGAATGGAGGGTCTTCAAGAAGTAATATTGTGGATAATAGTGTTGGTAAGAAGGGACAACTGTCAGTTTCGAAAATGGATTTCATGGGACTTGAATTTGCGGATAAGAAAAATACGAGGGGACTGCCACCTGGATTGGTTCCAATTTCTGACTCTTTCTCAAGAAGTGATATGCCTGAGGTGGAGCTGATTGTTGGGGACACGAGCAAGTTTGATGCTGCAACAACAGCTCCCAGGCCTGAGCAAACTGAGGAAGATGAATCAGCTCTTTACAAGCCAAAAGTTTCTACACGGGGTGTCTTTCCTCGAACCAGCAATATTTCAAAAACAGTATATAATATTTGATACTGAGCCCTGCAATTTTGCAATTTCCTTAATTTGCTCACATTCAGTTCGCTTGTTCAGGAATTGTTATATTTCTCAATTTGCCCTCCGTTTTCCCCTCAAATATCTTGTGTTTAATTATTTCTTTGGGTGCTTTCAGTACGGTGGAGGAAGAGTGATACGTCCTGGGGATGCGCTAGAGACTGAAGAAGAAAAATCTGCTAAAGAAGAACGAACAAGACAATTACTTGCTGCTTACAAGAAGAAAATTGGGTTAAATATTGATCCAAAGATAAAATCTGAGTGTGAGGAGGTAAGTTTATATAATGCCATCTCAAGTATTTCAACTGGAATTGGATTCCCTCCACTACTCTTCCCATCCTCTTCCCCTCCACTACCCTCCTTTCTTCTTCGCTATCACTGGCTAAATGGATTTAATTTTCTTGGTTGACTTACAAAAATAAGATGTAGACTTCTTTGTTAAATAGTTTGAAGAAATTCATGTCAATATGATTTCACACATCCATAAAAGATATGTTCTTATGTATTCATGAAAATCAGAATCAAAAGGATATCTTATGACATCCAAATTTTGCATTGCAACAAACTTCTACGGACTCAGTCTCTATTCTTGTTTTATGGATTTATTTGTCCAAATCTTGAGCTGGTTATTATGACTTTGGAGCATAATTATGCCAAGTAACATAATGCTTGCAGGAATTGAAGGAAGCTGACTCATTAATGAATGCTGGAAAGCTGAGAGAAGCATTGCCGTTCTATGAAAAGGTTATGGAGAAATTAACTTTTAAGGTAACTGCTACTTGCTAAAGCTGAAAGAAGTGCAAGCTGTCTTTTTGCTTAGTAAGTTTGTTAATCTCCCTCTCGAGTTCACTAAATATACTGAAAAAGAAAACTTCTTATATTAATCATGTCTCTGCAGAGTGAGCTGCATGGATTGGCTGCTTTGCAGTGGTCAATTTGTCAAGACTCCCTCAGCAGGTATATATAAACCTCCCACTGAGTTTGAATTCCAAAAAAAAAAAAAAAATTGAATTTACTGGATCGGCGTTATTCAAATCTTTGTGTTTTATGTGTTTAATCCAACATCTTTTATTTCTTCATTCGAGAATTAAATTGCCACGTTATCACTGGGGACCACCTCCACGTGTCTCTGCCACCTTACCTCTGCCTGTCACGTGTCGCCACCATATAATTTTCTCTTCAAAGTGACTTCTCCATGGCTCGAACCCAGGACCTCCTCTGTGCACGCGTGCGGCTTTACCAGTTGAGCTACAATAAACCTGTTGACTTATTATGTAAAATTAAATATATATATATATAATATTATTTTACACAAACAATTATATATATTATTAAAAACTAAAAATATACTATATGATAATTTTAATCATAATTATTTTAATGAAAAAATAATTTTTTAATATTTTTTAAATAATTTTTTATTCTTAAAAAATATTTTTAATATAATTTTAATTTCTAACCGCACTAATCTTGAATTTTAAATCATAAATAATTTTTTATAAATATTTTTTAAATTTATTTTTTAATTAACATTGATAAGATATACAATTCAATGATATATGTATTATATTACATTATATTATATTATCTATATGTGTTTTATATATTTGAAGAAAATAATTTATAATTAGTCAAAAAATCTTGTTATTCAAAAAATAACTACTGTAATAAAATCTAATAAATTATTCTACATAAAAAATTAAATAATTTGAATAGATTATGATAAACAGTATTCTCCTGCTTGTATATATATCCTATGTAATTTATTTTCTTAAAATTTTTTATATATACCATTTGTTTTTGTATTAAGATCAAAATCAATCTATCATGGGTATTAATTATATCGTGATTAAATTTTATTGTTTAATGATTGAAATTCAAAATTCACTTCAATATTAATTTGCATTCATATAAATTTATTAAATTGTTTTGAATTTCTATCACATATTATATATTTCAATATATTTTACATATGATAAAATTATTTCTTTCTTATATCATTTTGTATAAAAAAGTTATTAATAATCTTATTGTATTTTTTAATTATTATTAATAATCAAGAGGAATTTATTTTAACAAAATATAAATAAGTTTTCTAAGAAATTATTTTTCTATTTTTAGTATATACACAATGATGACATGAATGATGACGATATCTTCATTAACACCAACTCCATAAGTATATCAATTTATTTTATAATTAAAAATGTTTTTAAATCATTATATTCTTAATTGTTATAATATAATTTTTGTAAGATTATAATTTAAAATAACGAAATTTAAAATTAGTGACGGATTAGCAACGAAATTGTGACGGAATAGAATTAGCAACGGAATTAGTGACAAAAACTTCTGTGACAAACAATTTAGTGACAGAAATTTCTGACGGAAAAAATTTCGTCGCTAATTCCGTCGCTAAATATTTACTGACGGATTTTCAGATAGATTAGCGACGGAATTTAGCGACGAACAGAAATTCCGTCGCTAATCCGTCGCTAATATTAGCAACGGAAAAATTATGTCGCTAATCCGTCGAAAAAATTAGCGACGGAATTTCTGTCGCAATTCCGTCAGAAATTAGCGACGGAATTTGTTTCTGTCGCTAATCAGCTGTTTTTTTGTAATGTATGTTTCATGTTCTTTTGCATGGAAAGACAAAATGCAAGCACCAAATTCTTTTATTTAGATACAAAATGTTTCAATGTGACAAAGGATATATACCTCCAACGCATGCTCATAATCCCAGAAAAAAAGAACCTAAACAGAGCCTCTTACATCATATTTGAAATTCAATTTAGGTGTAACACATTGGTTTTGAAGAAATCTCTGGATATTTTCATTATAGAGAGAACCGGGGCTGTCTCTTGGTGGAGGAGTCTTTTATTCAAAAGGAAAATTTTAACTACGAGACCTCCTTATGCCAAAAAAACATAGTAATTGCATTGGGAATACAGAGATCTGACCCAGAATTCAAACCCAACCAGGCATTGATACCTTGGGGTTAAGTAAGGTTTCTCAAAAGCCTTCATGTGTGTCATTCCAGAAATAAAATCTTTCCCATCAAGCGATGTAATTTAAGCCTCAGCGAGGGAGATAATGCCATTTCCCAGGATTTTCTACCTGATGAGAGGAACAATATATGGCCAGAGAAAAGCTCGAGATATTGAATATTAAGGATGTTGCTGATTCTGTATACCAAAAGTCTCCTAGCTATGATCATTATATCACATACCATCTATTGAATAAGAGTTGCCTTTTTTTTTTTTTTTTTTTGCCTTTGACTCTTTTTCATAACTAGGATCTGCGTTATTCAAATCTTATTTTGGGGCCGTAATAGCCTCTTGATTTGAAAGGCTAGGTGGATGCTCTTTACTTTTTTCTCTTGCCTCGTGTAACAACTTGATCAATCCAATGAAGCTCGACTTATGTATGAGAAACTCCAATCCCACCCAAATCCTAAAGTGAGCAAGAAAGCAAGACAGTTCGTGTTCAGATTTCAGGTAATTTTTTTTTTTTTGGTGACAATCAGGTAATTATTTTGTTCCACATGAAAATATTGCTGCTGTTTTTTTTTTTTTTTGGGGGGGGTGGGAGGACAGGATAGCCCCATATTTGTGAGATCATATTGACAGAAATGGGACTCAACCTTCTCCCTCTCTCTTTTTATTTCAGTAACAATATATATCAGGACTTCTTAAAGTAATTAGATCTAGGGAAAAGTATAATCAAGTCCCAAAGAAGAAAAATGATTACTGAAAAATCCTAATAACAACCTAAGCAACATGTAATGACAAATTTCAGAAGGGAAAATGAGAACTTCTGGGATTTATTTTGTAATTATTTTTCTTCTTTGGGATCTTATTATAATTCTCCCTGAGATCTATTTATTTTACCTCTAAATCTCATAATGCATAGTAATACTTTCATATATTGAAAATTAATAATAATTAACTGGTTATAATTAAATAGTATTTGACAATGCACATATTAGCATGCGCTGACTTCTCCACCTAAGCCCGTCACAAAAATAGGAATACTTTTGTTTTATATACTTGTTGCCATGCATGATGGTTTAAATCTTAAAACCTGGCAGGCTATGGAAATGATGAAGGGGACAACAGGATCTCCATTTTCATGGAACACAGGCTACCAGAACTATTTTGATGCTTTCATAGAAAGCAAGTCTAACTACCCTTTGCAAGAAGACCTCAATGTGCAAGAAAGGGCACTTAATCAAGTTCTGCCCTATCTTCTCTTTCTCATTTCTCCTATCTTCATGGTAATATTTGTTGCCTTGCAGAAGAGAATATAAACATTTTTTTGGTATATAGACAACTTCTCTATTGTATATATATGTCACACGCACGCCATGTCTTGTTTCATAGTTGTGAGGTTCCAGGGAAAGGAGAATCAGTGTACTGTTCATTTGTATCACTGCCTTATAGATACGCTTAATAAATACTGTTAACCCACATCTGTACAGAAAAATACAGCTGATGCTTGCAGCTACTCATTACTATACATAACTACCTCTGTCACCTACTCCCTATTATAGTTTTGGTGCTGTTATGGAAGTGGAGAAGTTAGATCTTCTACATTTCATGGAGTTTACGAAACAAGTCTCAGCGGTGTAGTGTGAATGTTGATCTACCCCAGTTAGTAGAACAAGACTTGTTATTATGACTTGCAACTCTTGAACAATGTAGCTTACCTTACGTTTTTATTTGATACTGATGACGAATGATGATTCATCTTATTAGCACAGAGAAGAATGGAAAATTGCTGCTGCCACATTTGGTTCTTGAAAAAGATAGTGTTATGAATATGGTTTATTTGGAACTTGCAAAAGCCTGTTGCTTAAGTTTACACTTCGAATCCATATAAGGTTTTGATATATATATATATATATATATATTTGTGTATATATAGGAAGATCCAAGTTTGCCCTAAGGCAAATGTATAGCCTCCTATTTGGACTGCAGTATTTTTTTTCCTCTTTTTGAAAAAAAAAAGGGAAAATAAAAATATATTAACTCATGAAATGTTTACAAATGATAGAAGAAAACTGAAATAAAACTGAAATTAATAAACTGCGATAAGAAAAACTGATTGGCATTTGGTAACATATGTGTCAACTTTAGAGAATGACGAGGCCATGAGCTATATATTCTCTAAAGTGGACGTTAATGAGAAGAAACATGGTTTGCATTTGTTTGAAGCTTAATAGATGGCCTGAATTTGGTGCTTTGTAAACATATTTTGATGTTCCTCATCTCTTAAATGAGTTTGAAATTTGTAGACATTTTCATGAATATGATTAACTAACTAACCGGTAAAGATGGATCTCAAATCCCACAAAGATATAGAGAGTATCCGAAATTTAACTTATCTCATTTTTTTAATAAAATAAATTACATTCTTACCAAAAAAAAAAATATAGGAAGCATCAAACACTCATTTCATTTTATAAAAAAAAATATAAAGGTTAATATTCTTTTTAATCTTTAATGAAGTCAAATTTCGAGATTAAAAACTGCATTAAATTTTTTTTTACATAAATGTATATAATAAAGATATATAATTTCGGCGTATGAGGCAAGGAATCTCCATTGAATCGTAAAGCACAATGCAAGGTCGCTTTAAAGTCTGTGTTGTGATGGATATTTTCTTGCGTGGTTGACGGGATGAAGATGATAATGGAATGACTAATACGCAGTCCAAAACACTTTGTAATGTCAAAGAAATACAGTAATGGAATGAACTGGCAACTCGAAAGTCTTCATTTTGATCGATATTTTGTAGCGTGGTTGACAGGATGATAAAAACTGAACGCATTTTGCCATTTTCTAGCCACACTCACAAGACCCGCAAAGTCACAATCCTTGCATTGCATAACCTTTCCCACTTTCGCATTTTCATCACTTTCTTTTTTGTTTTGCATTTGCACGAGCACAACATCTTCATCTATGGCGGGGGCTTTGGTTGGCGGTGCTTTTCTTTCTGCTTTTCTTCAGGTGGCTTTTGATAGGCTGGCTTCTCGGGATGTTCTGGACTTCTTCAACAAACCAAAATTGAACCAGGCATTGCTCAATAAGTTGAAGTTCGTACAGTTATCCATCGATGCTGTGGTTGACGATGCAGAGCAAAAGCAGATCACTAATCCGAAGGTGAAGGACTGGATTGATTTGGTTAAAGATGCCGTGTTCGATGCTGAGGATGTCTTGGATGAGATTGATTATGAATTGTGCAAGCGCAAGCTGGAAGCTGAACAAAAGAGTCGAACCAGTGCTATTGGCAAGGTATGAAACTTCTTTAGTACTCCCGTTAGTTCATTTGAGAAGGAAATTGAATCCAGGACGAAAAATGTCCTTGAAAATCTGGAATATCTTGCATCTCAGACGGACATATTAAGATTGAATGAACGTGATAGTCGTGGTGGATTGAGAACTGCTATACCAGATAGATTGCCAACTACATCTTTAGTGGATGAAGCTGGAACATATGGCAGAGATGATGACAAAGAAACCATCATTGAATGGCTTCTGTCAGAAGAGTATAACAACCAACTATCTGTGATTTCTATAGTGGGTATGGGTGGTCTGGGTAAAACTACTCTTGCCCAGCTCGTATATAATGATAGAAGGCTGATGGATGGATTCAACCTCAAAGTTTGGGTGTGTGTCTCTAATGAGTTCAATGTGTTGAGGGTAGCAAAAACAGTTTATGAGGCAATCACTGGATCTAAGGATGATACCAATGATTTAAATATGCTTCAAATTAAATTAAAACAACAACTAACTCAAAAGAGATTTCTCCTTGTTTTAGACGACGTGTGGAATGAAAATTATGTGCTATGGGAGGGCTTACAATCACCATTTAATCATGGAGCACTAGGAAGTAAATTTCTTCTAACCACCCGTAGTGGAAAAGTTGCTTCAACCATGCGTTTTGCTAATATACTTCAATTGAAGCCGTTATCGGAAGGAGATAGTTGGTCATTATTTAGTAGATATGGATTCCATGATGGAAACGTTCTTTGTGCAAACTCCGACCTTGAAGAAATTAGTAGAAAAATCAGTAAAAAATACAAAGGGCTGCCTTTGGCTTTGAAAGCCATTGGGAGTCTCTTATACACAGAATCATCTCGTGAGCAATGAAATGAAATTTTGGAAAGTGAGATATGGAAGGACAAAAGCAATAGCAAGATTCTCCCTGCTTTGAGATTGAGTTATTGCTACCTCCCCTCTCATCTGAAAAGATGCTTTGCTTATTGTTCAATATTTCCCAAAGATTATGATTTTGATAAGGAGCATTTAATTCAGCTATGGATGGCAGAAAATTGCCTAACATGTGCTCATCAAAGCAAAGATGGGAGAGAAGTAGGAGAACAATTTTTTCATGACCTATTATTGAGGTCACTTTTTCAACGCTCACCCGTAGATGACACTCGTTTTGTCATGCATGATCTTATTAATGATATGGCAAAAGTTGAATATGGAAAGTTTTGCCATAGGTTGGAGTTAGATGATGCAAATAAGTTGACAGAAATGACCCGTCATATTTCATATTTGAGAAATACTATTAATACATTCGAACGATTCAAGGTTATACACAGGGCTAATAAATTGCGCACTTTGTTAACTCTATCTATGCAAGGTCATAGAAGTACAAGCTGTAACTCCATTCCTCACTTTATATCTGGCAAGTTTACTCACAATTTGCCATCCAAGTTCACTTGCATGCGAGTTTTATCTTTGTCTGATCATTTTATCACTCAGTTGCCTGATTCAATAGGAAACCTCAAACATCTCCGTTATTTGGACTTATCAGGAACTAAAATAAGGAAACTACCTAACTCAATATGCCAACTTCATCATTTGCAAACACTAAAGTTGTGGCGTTGTTGTCTTTTGGAAAAGTTGCCAATGGATTTTCATAAACTCATGAACCTACGTCACCTTGATTTTCGTGAAACTCAAGTCAGAGAGATGCCAAAGCAATTGGATAAATTGAAAAATCTTCAAGTGCTATCATCATTTATTGTAGACAAATCTGGAGAGACCAACATCAAATATTTAGAGGGACTTGATCTACATGGAGCATTTTCCATCTCGGGATTGCAGAATGTGGTTTCTTCCTCAACTGCTTTAGTAGTCAATTTGAGAAGCAAGATACACCTAAAGGAGCTAACATTAGAATAGTGCAAAGACAATGAAAAATCACCACATGACAAGGCTGTGTTGGAGAACTTTCAGCCGCATAAAAATTTAAAAAAGCTATCAATTGTCAACTATGGTGCTATCAAGTTTCCAAATTGGCTTGCAGATCACTCGTTGTCCGATTTAGTGTCCCTAGAGTTAAGGCATTGCAAATACTGTATATCCTTGCCATCAATTGGCCTCTTTCCATCTCTCAAGTCGCTGTCAATTATAG